TATTTATTTTTATACAAGAGCTGGGGTACAGACGAGATGCGCGGGAGGGTGAGAGGATTCACCAGAGACAGAGTGGGGAGCAGCACAGGCAGACAGACCGAAATACACTACTGAGGGTGTTACAGGACAGGGAGAAGGGCAGCCCAAACCCCGCAAACCTGTCTGTTTTGAATGGGTTCTGCCATCCGCTGCATCAACACAAAACATATGAGACTTTAATGGGAAAGAACTTTAATACAATTAGGAAACAATACAGGAAAGGCAAAGAATTTAGTTTCTAAATCAAGCACCCAAAGTTACCCGTCCCCTCGTGGGTAAAAGTCCATTTATATGGGATTGGCCCAGAACAAGGCCCCAAAGCCTGCCACAAGTCTAAAGCATCTTCCAGTGGGGACCCACAGAAAAGGGTCAGAAACAACCAGACAAGCCCGGAAGGAAAAGAGCAAAATCAACATCAAGATAAAAGCTGCCATTGTCACCTCCCCACGGGTCTCACCCACATCTGTGTCACCCAGTCCACGACCAAAAGACAAGCGCAGTTTCTTCACATGTCTCTCGGCTCCATGCGCCTCCTCCAGGTCTCCTTCTGGCTCCATCCTGCTTCCTTCCTCAGTCTCTTCTGCAGCTTCTCCTTTCCCTGCTCAGCTCCACCCTCCCTTGGGTGGGGCAGGGAACTTCCCCCTTTCCTGGGGACCACCCTGTTACAAGGGGAGCAGCGGGTGTAACAGGAGAGGTCTGCTGCGCCATGTGGGTAGCTCCCTGGCTGGCTGGGAATTGAACCCGCACTGCAGAGGCTGCGGACAGCTTCACAGCGCTGTGCTCAACCTGCTACACCACCAGGGAGGCCCGAGGGCCCCCCAGTTTAATGCTGGCCTTACCTTGGTAGCTCGGGGATTCTGTCCAGGGAGATCTAAGGATGCTGGTGGGGCCTGGTTACCAAACAGCTTTGACCTGCTGCAACTCTTGTCAATTTCTCATTTTCTCCTAAGTACAAAATACAAATCATAGTCGCAGGCAATGGTTAGCTATAGCTTTTTTTTTTTCAGCCTTCTCCCATAAGCAATGGGCTCCTTCAAATCCTTAAGTGGTGATTTTGTCAGGTTCACAACCCTCCCCAGCAGCAGAACAACTAGAAGCCTCTGTTTGCCTCTGAACCCAGAGCTGAGCAGAACCAGGGCTTCCCTTTTGCTCCCCATTGCATGTTTCTGCCTTCCTCCCTGGTCTACAGGGATGTTTGTCTTATTTCTGAGAGAAGATTGTCTTTTCAATCAAAAATCTACCTTTGTGTGTGATGCAGACCTGGGGATCTCAAAAGTGAACATAATGTCATCTTTTTTTTTTTTTACTTTATTTATTTATGCATACAAGAGCTGGGGTACAGGCCAGAGGTGCGGGGGGGCGGGGGGTGAGAGGATTCTCCACAGACAGGGGGGAGCAGAACAGGCAGATTGACTGAAATACACTGCTGAGGGGAGCAGTGGGTGAGACAGGAGAGGTCTGCTGCACCATGTGGGTTGCTCCCTGGCCGTGGGCGGGGGGGGGGGGGGGGGCGGGCGGGGCAGATTCAAATTCTTTGCTGCAGTGGCTGCCAATAGCTTCACAGTGCTGAGTAATGCCATCTTAACCAAAAGTCCCAAGATGCAGTTTCTTACTTTCCTGGCTCTGGCTTGTGAGTATGAATGACTTTGGCATTTCTGCTCACCTCTCACAGACTTTGGGTTCTCAGCCTCCTTTACATCACTCTTGATTTCCCCAGGTATTTCTTGAGGTGGCCTTGGTGTCTCACTAGTGCTCACGAGCCAGCCTGTTCACAGCCTGGTGTTCAGGAGCTGTCTGCCTGGCCACATTTGACGTCATTTCCTCCAGCTGTTTTGTAGCGTGTGTCCTATTGAAAAGCACCTCCCAGGGCAGGGCCATCTCCTGGGCCTCCAAAAATTCAAGACCTCTGAGCCCAAACAATAGCAGACACCTCTGAATTCCCTGCAAAAATGGAGAGAGCATCCTCTTTCTCTTCTGAGAGCTTAGACTAGAGTTCAAGGGTAAAACTGAAGGCTAGACCCAAACTTTCCTCCCAGGTGCCACTCCAACACTCACCTTTGCACCCCCCTTTCCACAGGCAAGACAACTTAGGCACAGGAGTTCAGACACACCCCTACTCTGAATCCCAAGTGGGGCTACCTTCTGCCTGTGACTGGAAAAGAACACTAATTGGTACAGTGATTTTATCTGAGTGAGTGGTTAACAGTGAATTTTAATCTTTTTGTGTGTTTTTAGGTATTTTTCTAATTTTCTATAATCAATATTTATAATTTTATAAACATGCAAAAATTATTGGGAAAAGTGTTCTTTGAAAATGTTTGTTTAGTGAAAGACACCCTTTTTTTTTTTAAAAAAAGATTTATTTATTTATGCATACAAGAACTGGTGCACAGGACAGAGGTATGGGGGGGGGGGTGAGAGGATTCACCAGAGACAGAGTGGGGAAACAGAACAGGAGGAAGGACTGAAATACACTGCTGAAGGGAGTAGTGGACGAGTCAGGAGTGGTCTGCTGTGCCATGTGAGTAGCTTGCTGGCTGGGGATCGAACTCGTGCTGCAGTGGCTGTGGATAGCTTCATAGGCTGCATCTCAACCCCCTGCGCCACCAGGGAGACCTGATAGACACCCTTTAAAAATAAATGTTCACAATATTTATTTTCTTTCTGTTAAAAACTTGCATTTTATCCAGATCTGAGGATATGAATGAGATTTTTATCTGTCAGTGCTTTGGCAAGCGCAATGACCATACTGTGTCATTGTTGAACATTTTTTTACTGGCTCCTCAGCTTCTAGGGCAGAGTCCTTGCTCTCAGTTTTCCAGATAGCAGACCCTTCATGATCTCACTGCTCCCTGCTCCAGGTCTGCTTTCAATATTATTTTTTCTTGGGTAATTGCTTAGTTATACCTAAACTGCAATAGTTCCTGAACACAGAATGCACTCCCACTCCCATGCCTCTGCCAGATGCCTAGAATGTCCTTATCCTTTTCCACATGGAAAATGCCTATTCACACACTAAAACCTGTTTTGAGTCTGTCTCTTCCACTCGGAAATCCTCCCAATACTCTCTTCCTAGTGCTTACTGTCCACTCTGTACACACTCCTGTATCTGCCTTATCCTGCTGGATTCTTTTACTTATGTCTGTATATTCAGAGAGTTCTAACACACAGGGTAAGTTTTTCATAAATATCTATCAAATTGAGGCAGATGTATTCATTACACAAATGCACAGTTATATCATTGATCCCAATAGGTTATGAGAAATGCACTGTTAGGTGATTTCATTATTACAGTGCAATCCTCGTGGACATAATTTCACGAACCTAGATGTATAGCCCACCACACACCTAGGTTAGTTATAGGAACCACTGTCATATATGCACTCCATCGTTAACAGAAATTCTGTGAAGCAATGCGTAACTATTCCTTTGTTGGAGGGATACTTGTCACATTTTACAGATGAGAAAACTGTAGTCCAGTGGGGCCTGTTACTAAGTTGTTGCAAAGAAAAACTGGATCTAAATTCCTGTTCCTGAAATGCCAACTATGTTACTGAGCACACTGCTGGTTTCCTGGGATTTAAAATTAATGATACACAAACCTTGCCGTTAGGAACTCACAATCCAGTGCTGGAGACAGAAACACAAGCACAGATAATTCCAATGCCATGGGGAAACAGTCTCTCTGTCTCACCCTTCCTCCCTTAATCAGCCAAAACTTGAAAGCATAATTCATATTTACTGCTTGTCTTATGTCTTCGAAAGAATTTTCTATTTCCTACATCTGTTAAGAACGTAGGAAATAATTTTGATTGAAATCATAGATCATTAGGATTTGCATTGAATGAAGTCATTTAATAGAATTTTTCTATCTCACTCTTCATTCTAGTTTAAGGAAGCTTATTTGACCTATCAAAATAGTTTCTACAATTGCTAATTCCCAAGCAAGGGTGCACTCTGTGGCTGCAAGTGTGCAACTCAAAGACCACCAGGTTTGGTTGGGGAAGGGTGAAGAGAAGGACTTAAGCTAAAAAAGATCAATTGACCTTGAAGGTTTTTCTTGATTTTATGGAAAACAAGTCAAGCCTAAGCTAAGGTCATGAGATAAAGCTCTGAAAATGCCGTTATCATAGCATAAATCCTGGGGCAGTAACCCTTGAAAGAAAAACAGATGCTCTGATACTCTATTGCAAACTATTTGGACCCAATAGATTTGATCTCTTGCCTAGTCAGGTGGGAGTATTTCCAGGGGTCACTAGAAGATCTTTCTTTGTGACCCAAGTGAACACCACTGAGCCTGTGGGCAGAGAACTCTGTGCGTGACAGCAAAGGGACTTCAAAGCCCCTGCTGGTTCAGAGGTCCTGACCTGACTGCCCCACAGGGCCTCTTGTAATATCCCACATGGCTCACATATTGGAGAAATCTCTTCTACTGACCTGCTTTAAAATAAAACAAAGCAATAATTATTTCCCTTATTTTGGCAATTCACCAGACACATCTAAAATCACTGGGGGATGGGGAGGGGAATACTGATCTGCAACAGACATCCAGGGTTAGCAGCCCAAGCTCATCTCTTAATCAGGCAGGACAATGTGTACAAAAACACTTAGAATCCTAGTTTCATGGGGGTGTTCTAAGTGATTGTGTCATTTCTCTTAGATTTTTTTTTTTTTAAACAAATAGAGCATGCAGACCTCCTTTCTTCCCAGGTCCCTTGAACTGGGAACCTCTACATTTGACTGGTCCAGTGTAATTTTATACAGTGAGGTTAGCTCCTGGGGCAGTGAATGCCCAGTCTTCAGAGTCAGTCCAATACAGGCTGAATTCCTGCTGAGCAACCTGGACATGCCATTTCCCTCCCTGAGCTTCACTTTCCCCATATGTGGAGTGATGATGAGCATGCCCACCAAGCAGCGCTGGCCTATGGGTTAAACTGAGCACTATGAGTAAAGGACTCAGCATGGCTCAGGCAAGTGCTTCAGCATTTTTGTTGATTTGATTGTCACTGGTGATGGATCACACGGCTCATGAGGTACCCAGTAGGGTCTGCTGTGAGTTGTTGGTGATTTTCTCACAGTGCGTTTTTAGACTTCCCACTTGAGGTAGGCAAAATGGAAGGTGCTCGGCCAGATTGAAGATGGCAGCGGGTGAGTTAGGAGAGGTCTGCTGCACCATGTGGGTAGCTCCCTGGCTGGGGATCAAACTTGCGCTGTGGTGGCTGCTGATAGCTTCATAGGTTGTATCTTAACCCCTTGCACCACCAGGGAGGCCCGGAATGGGCTTCTTTTTTTTTTTTTTAAATGTAACTACTCTCATACTTTATTTTTATTTTTTTTTAAACATTTTTTTAATTTTTTTTTAAGATTTTATTTTATTTATACAAGCACTGGGTACAGTCAGAAGCGCGGGAGGGTGAGAGAATTCACCAGAGCCGGAGCGGGGAACAGAACAGGCAGACTGACAAAGAAGTACACTGCTGAGGGGAGCAGCGGGCGGCAGGAGAGGTCTGCGCGCCATGTGGGACCCTCCTCTGGTGGCCGGGGAGCAGCCGGGGATCGAACCGGCGCTGCAGAGGCTGCGGGCAGCTTCGCAGCCCGGCGCTCAACCGCTGCGCCACCAGGGGAGGCGGAATGGGCTTCTTAATTTCTGTGTCCAGTGGCCAACACGAGGCCTGGCAAGGAAGGGGCTGCCCAGAACACGATTGTTGAATGAGTGAGCGAATGGAGTGAGTGAATCAGCATTTATGAATAAGTCTTAATTAAGTATAGGCTACACACAACCTAATCAAGTACAGGAAAAGACACAGGGATTCCAATGGCATCCACCCTTTAAGTCCTCCCCAGGTTTACTTATCCTTTGGAGTAAGTCCAAGGAAATGAGACAGGACATGGGAGGAGCCTATAGGAGGAACCCGTGTTGGGGCCACAGGGGGTCTGGACAGCAAAACTGATGGGGATGATGGCATGTAGGGGACAGAGAGTCTATACAATTATCAGGCACAGGGGCCCAAAGAGGGCCTAAGAGCCGAACACAATTCCATCTTCCTGCTGCAGGGCTCTGAACAGTTCTTCCAGGGTCCAGTAGGCAGGATGGACCATGTACACTCCCCGTCAGGGTGGCCTTTGGGGGTCAATCAGGCTCTGTGTTCAGGATCAAGAGCTCCAGCTGAATCCCACCACTGCACACGTGTACACGCTCACACACACGTGTAATGAATTCAAGCCCATGCCTTGGGCCACACCTGTGCCTCTCCCTCATTCTCCCCTGCTAGTCTTTCTTTGCCTAGAGATTCTTTTCACTATTTGACTTGGGTGGAAGCAGCACCATCACCCTCCAGGAGCTGCATGAGGCGCTGGTCTTGCTCATCCACGGTAACCCCATGGACAAACTCAAATTCCTCTTCCAAGTGTATGACATGGATGGTAAGGGTCCTTCCTTGGAGTGGACCCTTAGGAGTGGACTGGGGGCAAAGTTGCGGGGCTCAGAGGGAGGGGATAAAGGTAATTAGCTGTCTCTGCGACTTCCCAGCATAGGGCTGTTTATCCAGGGCTCTCTTTCTCTGGGACCCCGTTCTCTCTGACTGAACCCTGCCTCCCTTTTGTGGTGATGAGGCATGGGAGGGAAAAGGGGGCAGTCCGACTCAGGAGACAAGTGCCCCTGATTCAACTCACCTGAAGCCAGAACTTTCTTTTGTTCTTTTCTGTTTAAAAAAAGACTGCTGCTTTTTCTTTATTATAATAATTTCAGTCAACACAGAATGGTTTAAAGAAGAAAGCAAGTCACTCATAACATTTTTATACTGCCTTTTAACTGATCTCTTTCCCTCACACATACACACACTATTCTTTTAAAAAATGGGATTATACTATGCTAACTGCCTTTCTCCACTGAATGATGTTTTTCATATAAGAATATATTGCTTTATAATATCATTTTTATTGTAGTAAGATATTCATAACATTAAATTTACCATTTTAACCATTTTTTTCCAGGAGACTTTTAAAATTTTTTTTAAATTTTATATATTTTACATCATTTTTCATTTTTGCACAATGTATGCATTTTCATCTTGGTTATAGTCCCCGTACAATTCCCACCCCCCTTGCTTTGACCCTTTTTTAAGAGTGTGGTTCAGTGGCATTAATTGCACTCGTATCATTGTGCAGCCATCATCACCATCCATCTCCAGGACTTTTTCATCTTCCCAAACCAAAACTCTGCCATTTAAATAATAACTCCCCCTTTCCCCCTCCCCCCAGCTCCTGGCAACCACCATTCTACTTTCCATCTCTAAGAATTTGATGCCTCTAGGTAGCTTATGCGATACTTGTCTTTTTGTAAACGGCTTATTAGCATAATGTCCTCGAGGTCCATACTTGTACCACGAGACAGGATTTCATTCTTTTTTTCTTTCTTTTACATTTTAAAAGGACAGGTTTATTAGGAAAAGGAGAAAGAAAAAGAGAGGCACCTGTATAGTCACAGGCTGGCTGGAGAGCTTAGGATTTCATTCTTTTTTTAAGGCTGGAAAATAATCCTTTGTATGCATGTTCCACTCTTTGTGTACCCATTCACCCATCAATGGACACGAGTTACTTCCCCCTCTGGGTGGTGGCCAAGGCCTATGGCCAATGTCTCAACTTTGACTGCAGCTTCATCACAGTAGGGCTCTGCAGTCACAACCGGGGGTAGCGGGCAGGGGTGCTGATGTAGGCTTCTCCTAGACCAGGCTACCCAAAAGTGTTCATCTGGAATGCCAGGGCAGGATAACACCTTAGAAATTAGCTGGGCCAGCTCACTCAGTGGTGGATAGGGAGGCCCGAGAGGCACAGTGACTTGTCCATAGTCACACAGCACTTAGTAACACACCTGGTACTCTGGTATGCTTACTGTGTACCAGTCACTTCCATTCAGTCTTCATGACTCTATGGTGTACCCGAAGAGGGCGGGTCTGGCCCCTGTGCCCAAGTCCACAGAGAGAATTCTCCAGGACCTTGAATGCCTGACTGAGTCAGAGAGTGATCCTCTGGGTCAGAGAGTGAGGTCTCCAAGTGTATTTTGTCATACACTCCTACAATGAAAAAAAAAAAAACCAAAAAACAAAATATGAAAAAAATCCCTCTCCATAACTCAATACATGCCAATGGACTTATGGCATAAGGTAACTATAAAGCAAGATTCATTCTTAATCATCAGAGATGGACACTTGTAGTTTGGATTGTCTTGATAGATCAGCTTCTTGTTAGAGTAGATTTTACTTTTTTTTTTTTAATAGAGGCATGTTTTATTTATTTATTTGTTTGTTTGTTTGTTTATACAAGCATTGGGTACAGTCAGAAGCGCGGGAGGGTGAGAGAATTCATCAGAGTCAGAGTGGAGAGCAGAGCAGGCAGACTAACGAAATACACTGCTGAGGGGAGCAGCGGGCGGCAGGAGAGGTCTGCGCGCCATGTGGGACCCTCCTCTGGTGGCCGGGGAGCAGCTGGGGATCGAACCGGTGCTGCAGAGGCTGCGGGCAGCTTCGCAACCCAGCACTCAACCGCTGCGCCACCGGGGAGGCCCCAGATTTTACTTTTAACCTCACGTTGGCTACATAGAGTTCAGACCAGCAGCAGGAGGCACACTGCTGATCTTGCCACTAGCTTTTGCATTATTAATACTACTTTGCATATGTACATCTCTGCAGGGAGTCATTTTAAGCTACTTGTCTTTTCTGTGAGGGATAATTAGCTTAGTTGAGTTAAAACCAGATAATATAATCCGTAGGACTGCATAGCTGGACACAAGCAAGTGTGGGAGCCCTTTTCAATAGTCCCTTGGAAAACTGGGTCTTCCCCTAGTATACCTCAAGAACCACATGTGACATGAACCTGTTTAATATAGAGACCAAATGGGGACACCATGCCAGCACAGACATTGACTATTAGTGAAAGCGTATGCGAGTCTAGATCACAGTAACACCAGCAGACGTTCTAACATTTTCTATTGCTGGCACAATTCTGGAGACTTGGAGCTGTGGACCTAGGAAAGCAATGAAGCCTTGGGGGCAGGAGAGATGGTAGTGGGGTTCCTTAAGAAGACCACCAACCCATGGGCATTCAGGAAACCCCCACAGAGAAAGGAAGCCAGGGCAGAGGGAGAGCTAGGTGGGCCTGTCTCTGCTTTGCCCTGCCAGGTACTGATGCTCAGGTGCTGCCTCACAGGCCTTGGGCCACATGGCTGGCTCAGGTCCTCTGCTGGACCGAAATGTCCAGTTCTACTACCTTATGGGCTACGTGGTGGAAGGGCTCTCCCTTGTGCACACTGTGGCCCACATTATGAACCACATTGAGTGGCCGGGGGCGGGTTGGGTAGGGTGTGTAGAAGGGCCCTAGGTCTCTCACAAACCACTCAGTTCTCCAGTCCCCAGTACAGGACATGGCACACAGCGCTGTGTCCTGCCTGCCCAATGGGCAGAGAAGGGGTGCTTTGGATAAACCAGAATTCTGGCTAAAATTCCCTGCCTGCGAGGTGATAGGGAGGGGTTGGGAATTCCGAAGGGAAGGTGGCTGGGGAAGAGCTTGTCTTGTGCTTATCTCCAGCACTCCAGGCCCAGTCCCAGGCCAGCCCCTTCCAATTTTGGGAACTGCTGCGCACCGCAAGACCTGGCATCAGCTGGGTCCATGCCTCAGACTCCCTGACCTGGTGGCTCTGCTGCTGCTGCTGCTCCTTGTGTGGGGCTGCTCCAGCCCCTACATCCATAGGAGTGGCCACTTGAGTTGCCTAGCCCTTGATCCTGTGCCACTCGAGTTATGTCTGCCACGTGAAAATGGTTTGCTGTTTTATCGCTGGCTTATCCCATTGACTTACTTGGATTAAACTAGGCTGGAAATGGCATTGGAAGGGGGAGGGACACAGGTTCACCAGGGTTCAAATCCCTGCTCTACTATTTTCTGGTCACTCAGTTTCTTTATCTATAAAATGTAAATATAATTCTTCCTTTGTAGTTATTTTAGGAATTAAGTGACATAATATATATGAAGTCATGCCTAGCTCTGGAAATGTTAGTTCCATCTTTTTTTTTTAAAAAGATTTATTTATTTATTTATACAAGCACTGGGTACAGTCAGAAGTGCGGGAGGGTGAGAGAATTCACCAGAGCCAGAGCAGAAAGCAGAGCAGGTAGACTGACGAAGTACACTGCTGAGGGGAGCAGCGGGCGGCAGGAGAGGTCTGCGCGCCATGTGGGACCCTCACCCAGTGGCCGGGGATCGAACCGGTGCTGCAGAGGCTGCAGGCAGCTTCGCAACCCAATGCTCAACCGCTGCGTCACCAGGGAGGCTGCTTAGTTCCATTTTTGTGTCCCTCTCTCTCTAGCTTCCTCAAGATGCAGAGGTCACAAAGGATTTGGTTGGGAGACCCTGACTCTCCCCTGCACTGATCTCATCACATCAAAAATAGACATATGTGGAGCACCCACTCTGGGCCAATAGCAGTCCTTTGCAGTAGGAAACAGCATCCACGGTGAGGAATCTGATGCTCAGAAAAGTAATGTACCCACGGCCAAAGCATCAATGACCTTGAACTCCTTCTCTCTCCAGATCACTCATCTCCTCATCAGGAGACCCCTTCTTTTCCTCTACAGGCCTGGAGACTTACATCTGAATATCCCCACCATCGTGTGCTATGAGTGGCATCCCTTCACCAACAGCAGTGCTCCTGAGCAGAAAGGTACACCAACTCCTTTAGGTGCTCAGCAGGCATTGACTGAGTCCTGGCCATGTGCCTGTGGGCACGGGCTGAGAATGAGGACACTGATCTGGGAACAAGGCCAGAGATGCAAAGTTAAAGTCTAGAAGCCCCCTCTGAAACTAGGAGGCAGATGTGCCAACACCTGCTGTAAGGGTGATAGGGCCGTACATAGCCCTCAGGTTACAGGGAGGGTCTGGTGAGGTAGGCGAGTGTGCCAAGCTTGGCATATTTGGGAAGGTAAAGTTGGTGGGAGTTTTCTTTCTTTTTTTATTTTTTTAAGATTTATTTATTTATGCATACAAGAGCTGGGGTAGAGGTCAGAGGTGTGTGTGTGTGTGTGTGGGGGGGGGGGGTTGAGAGGATTCACCAGAGACAGAGCAGGGAACAGCTGAGGGGAGCAGCGGGCGAGACAGGAGAGGTCTGCTGCGCCATGTGGGTTGCTCCCTGGCCGGCCGGGGATCGAACTTGTGCTGCAGAGGCTGCAGATTGCTTCATAGTGCTGTGCTTAACCCCTTGCACCACCAGGGAGGCCCTTGTGGGAGTTTTCTTGATGGGGAAGGAGGCAGAGGGAGAAGTCTAAGCAAAAGCATATAAGCCTGTAATGATTGTCTGATGGTGTTAGAGCTAAGGATAGGGGTGGAGTAGAGATGAAGGTGGAGGGGTGCGGATGGAGAGAGAAGGACTGGAGAGAGGATCAAAGAAAGTATGAAAGGCGGATAACATGGCTGGTGAAGCCAGTTAGAGTCAAGGTGGACTCAGGAGGACATTGGATGCAGAGCTGGAAGCTGGATGGTGTGGGCAGTTGAGAACCCACAGAGGTATTAAGGTAGTAGCCAGCTCTGAGGAGGGTGTGCCAGGGTGCTCTGATCCCTCCCCTGCCCTTATGAAGCAGGTTTAGGTTGACTTCACTGAGAAGGGCTGCAAGGTCTGCTCCAGAGGCATCCGCTCTGCAGGTCCCATGGTTGGGACTACTGGTTTGGTCCTGAGGAAGACCATTCAGCTGGGGACCCGAGAAGCTGACATCCACCCTCAGACCTTCCAGTGAGACAGGCCTGCTCCCTGCTGGAGGCCAGCACAAATCCCCTTTCCCCTGCCCTGCCTCTTGCTCAGACACCCTCTGGCTACATATTGGGTCCCGAGGCAGGTGGACCAATGGACTGTATGTGTCCTTCAAGGCATCAGAACCTGTGGGCTGTGACCCCAAGAGGCTGTTGAGAAGAGTCAGAGGAGGCCCCAGGTAGGTGGCATGCCTCTGTGATGGCAAATCACAAAATTCCTCTCGTCAGTGGGCATCGATCATTGAGCTGCTGTTGTGCACACTGGCTGGATGGTAGCACTGGGGCAAAGCAACTCTGGACCATGTGGCCCAAAAGCATCCTTGAAGACTGGCCACCCCAGGTCCCCCACCCCCATTCCCATGTTTTTGTTAGAACACAGAGGATAACAGAGAGAGAGAGAGAGAGAGAGTAAAATGAGATCAGAAAACCCAACTCCACATTTCTGCTCCTACACTTTCTCGTTGAACGCAGCCTTTAACCACTTTGCACCTCAGATGATTCAGCAATGAAAAGGGCAGTGACTCCCACTGCAGTGACTCCTCGGCTTCCTTTCCTCACATGATTGTTTAAGGGCCAATGGAATGAAAGTGTGGAAACTACTGAGCTGGGTAGCATGGTCCAGATGGGCCATTTGTCAGCATTAGCATCAGGATTGTTAGCTTTTGAACCCTGATGAAACCCACAAAGCTGACAGGTTGTCAGTGTGTGGAGTGAATGCAGGGTCTGGGAGGATTTGGGATTTGGAGACATCGGAGCAGCTCTGGAGAAAATGAGAATGGATAAGGAGGGCGAACACAAACTTAGTCGGCGATACCGGGCTAAGAGACAGGTGAATGGGTGGAAGCCTCAGGCACCATTCCAGAGAAGACTTGGCACAATCTCTTTGGTGGGCAGTCTGGTCATTTGTGTGAACATTTTAAACATGTATACTCACTGGCCCAGAATTTTCATCTTTAGGGATTTACCTGAAAAAGCTAATCAACAGGTGCACAATAAGTATGTTAATCACCTTGTTCATTCATTCATTTAGCAAGTTTATTTTTTAAAAAGATTTTATTTATTTATTTATGTATACACGAAATGGGGTGTAGGCCAGGGGTGCAGGGGGGGAGGGGCGGGGGTGGTAAGAGGATTCACCAGAGACAGAGGGGAACAGAACAGGCAGATCTACTGAAATACACTGCTGAGGGGAGTAGCAGCTAAGACAGGAGAGGTCTGCTGCACCATGTGGGATCAAACTCATGCTGCAGTAGCTGGCGATTGCTTGATAGTACTGAGACTTTAACCCCTGCACCACCAGAGAGGCCCTCATCTAGCAAGTTTTTACCAAGCACACAACACCTATGGTTTTCTAAGTATTGTTCTAGATGTTGGTGATATGCAGTAAGCAAAACAGACATAATCACTGCTTACCTTCCAGAAGTGGGGGTAACAAATGTGTCAAGTGATAAGTGCTAAGAACAGTAAATCAGAGCAAAGGGATCACAATGAGAAAGGTGCTAATTTATGGGTAGTGGTTTATAACAAAATGAGAGAATGAGATTCATCAAAATGCCCAATAGGGAAGTAGCTAAATAAATTACTTATCACCCTTATAGTGGAATGTTAGTTGCCTAAAAAATATATTATGTAAATGTGTGTGCATTAGCTAGTCAAGATATATAAGTGGAAAAGGCAGGTTACAAAGCAGTATGTATAGATGGAACATTCTGGAAGGACGTAGAGAGAAAATATTTAGAGTAGTGATGTCCTCTGATTCAGGGTACTTTTCCCCTATATTCTTTAAAAGTTCTGAATCTTTAAAAACTAACTTAATTGCTTTTGTGATTTAAATAATAAAGCAATATCCCTTTTGAAACAAAACCAAGGCCTGGTATTCCAGGACTTCATCCCCCTGCCATGGAGTTCCCTGGGGCCTATTGCACATCAACGCCACAGTGACTTCCTTGCTGGAGGCCTCTGACCCCTGGGCTGAAGCTGAGGCATAGGCAAGACAGGAGAGGTCTGCTGTACCATGTGCGGGAGCAACCTGGCTGGGATCCAGCTGATTCTGCAGTGGCTGCAGATTGCTTCATAGTGCTGAGGCTTAACCCTTTGTGCCACTAGGGAGGCCCCCCTGCTGGTGGTTTTAAAAGGTGAAAACATGTTTGCGTTTTGGAAATGTTATTAATTCTGTAGAGGCCACTTAATAGAGAGTCTAAACATATGATTACAGGTTTCCCCTGCTAATGAGAAAGCAGAATGCTCCTATTTGATGTGATTTGGTAAGTTACTTCGTGGGACTAGGAACACCATCGCCATTACATTTATATGGAAAACATTTTTTAAGAAGATTTTTTTTGGTAAAGATTTATTATTTTTATTTATTTATTTATTTGTTTATTTAAACAATATTTGCTTCCCCCCACTCCCTCAGTTTGAGTCCCCATAGAATTTCCTTCCCAGTGTTCAACATCCCTTATCATCAGGGAAATGCAAATCAAAACCACACTGAGATACCACCTTACACCACTGAGAATGGCACATATCAAAAAAACAAGTAACAGGGCCTCCCCTGGTGGCGCAGCGGTTGAGCGCTGGGCTGCGAAGCTGCCTGCAGCCTCTGCAGCACGGATTCGATCCCTGGCCAGCGGGCGAGGGTCCCACATGGTGCGCAGACCTCTCTTGCCACACCCGCTGCTCCCCTCAGCAGTGTATTTCATCACTCTGCCTGTTCTGTCCCCCACTCTGGCTCTGGTGAATTCTCTCACCCTCCCGTGCTTCTGACTGTACCCCAGTGCTTGTATAAATAAATAAATAAATCTTAAAAAAAAACAAGCAACAACAAATGTTAGTGAGGACATGGTGAAAAAGGAACTCTCCTGCACTGCTGGTGGGAGTGCAAACTGGTTCAACCACTATGGAAAGCTCTCTGGAGGTTCCTTAGTCTACTAAAAATGGAGCTACCATAAAGGTTTATTTTTTTATTTATACAAGAGCTGGGGTACAGGCCATATGCACAGGAGGGTGAGAGGATTCACCAGAGACAGAGCAGGGAGCAGAATAGAGAGACTGATGAAATACACTGCTGAGGGGAGCAGCAGGCAAGACAGGAGAGGTCTCTTTGCCACATGGGTTGCCCTGAGGCCAGTTGGGATTGAACCAGTGCTGCAGAGGCTGCGGACAGCTTCACAGTGCTGTGCTTAACTGCCTGAGCCACCAGGGAGGGCCTATATGGAAAACAGTTTCAGCACTCCAAGGTTTCCCAAAATAACCTACCAAATAGGAACTTTCTACTTTCAGATAGCAAGGAAAACCTGTAATTAATGTTTTTCTGGCTGTCCTAAGCCAGAGCACTGCTCGCTATAAACAATAGCTAGGTGATTAGAGCATGTCTGACCTGGCAGCCGGGAAACAGGGTGCTGGTCTCATGCTGTGCTGTGACCTGGGCAAGCTCCCCATTCTGGGAGCCTCAGTTTCCCTCACTTCAGTGGTGGTCACTGGGTGTGCGGCTCAAGGCAAGTGTGCTATGAGTGAGGCAGGCCCCTCTGAACTGAAGGGCCCCTCTCCAAGCTGGACTTCATCTGGATCCATCAAGACCAGCAGTCTTTCAAGTGGTTTGTGAGGCTGCTGATGGGACTGGAGTTGGACCCAGATGAGGAGACTGAAGAGGGTAGGAGAGGGATGTGTTTCGGGGGAATGGGCCTGCATAAGAGGGTGTTTAGAGGATCCCATTTCTATTAAGCATGTGTGTGTGTGTGGGGGGGGGTTGTTCCCCCCCCCAAGTAAAATGTACCATTTTGCAAAATAAAAAATAGAGGGGAAAGTGCTCGTTCATATTCCTATCTAGTCAGCTTTTTCCAGGCATTTTAAAGAACTTCTGATATTTTTTCTTAAACATATTTTATGAAAATAAATAGCCTTCTTTTTTCTGTTCTTTTTTTTTTTTAAGTGTATTTTTTTTTTTGTTTGTTTTGTTTTTATTTATTTATTTGTTTGTTTGTTTATACAAGCACTGGGTACAGTCAGAAGCGCGGGAGGGTGAGAGAATTCACCAGAGCCAGAGCAGGGAGCAGAGCAGGCAGAAGGACCGAAGCACACACTGCTGAGGGGAGCAGCGGGCGGCAGGAGAGGTCTGCGCACCATGTGGGACCCTCCTCCAGTGGCCGGGGAGCAGCCGGGGATCGAACCGGCGCCGCAGAGGCCGCGGGCAGCTTCGCAACCCAGCGCTCAACCGCTGCGCCACCGGGGAGGCCCTTTTCTGTTCTTTTTAAATGACATTTCTTTTCATTCAGAATAAGCACTTGCTAAAATTTAGATTTCCAGGCCTCATCCCAGCCCTACCAAATTAGATTGTCTGGGAGTAGGGCCCAGCAATATACATTTTAACATGCCTCTCAGATCATTCTAATTCTTGCCTTTTTAAAAAAGTTTTCTGAGGGATAACTTACATACAATAGAATTCACCAGTTTAAGTACACAATGAATGCAGTGACATTTTGACAAACTTGTACAGTTGCATAACCATCAATATAATCAAAATATGTAACATTCTGTTACCCCAAAAGTTCCCTTATCCCACTCTGCATCAATACCCCCATTCTAAAATTTCATATAAATAGAATCATGTTACTTTTCTCTATAACTTCTTTCATTTAACTTATGATCTTTGAGATTTATCCATGTGCTTACATGTATCAGTAAATAGTTATTCTTGCTTTTTATTGAGTAGTATTTCATTTTATGGGTCTGTCTTTCCATTCACTCGTTGGTGGATATTGGGCTAATGCTTCCTAGCTATTTTGAATAAAGTTGCTATGTATATGTACATTCAAGTGCAGATATGTTTCCATTTCTTCTTGGTAAATACTGAGGAGTGGGCTGTTGGGTAGTATGTTGTGTGGTGAGTTTAACTTTATAAGTTAACTGCCAAATGGTTTTCCTAAGTGACTATCATCTATCATTTTGTGTTTCTTTTTTTTTTTTTTAAAGATTTATTTATTTATACAAGCACTGGGTATAGTCAGAAGCGCAGGAGGGTGAGAGAATTCACCAGAGCCAGAGCAGGGAGCAGAGCAGAGCAGGCAGAAGTACACTGCTGAGGGGAGCAGCGGGCGGCAGGAGAGGTCTGCGCGCCATGTGGGACCCTCCTCTGGTGGCCGAGGAGCAGCCGGGAATTGAACCAGCGCTGCAGAAGCTGCAAGCAGCTTCGCAACCCAGCGCTCAACCACTGCACCACCCGGGGAGGCTCCATTTTGTGTTTCTATTGGCAATGGATGAGAGTGCCTCAACTCTCTTCAGCCTTGTCAATAATGGCAGACTTTTATATTTAGTTTTAGCCATTTGAATAGAATATGCCCTTAATTTGTATTTCCCTTGTGACTAATAATGTTGAATCTCTTTTCACATTCTTATTTGCTCTTTGTACACTTTTTGGGTAAAATGTCTGTTCAAATATCTTGTCCAGATGTTTTTCATCTTTTATTGACTCATAAGAGTTCTTTGTTCTGGAAACAGGTCAACTAATTAGGTTACATATACATTTTATAAATACATTCTCCCAGTCTGAGGTCTCTGGTGTGTCTTTTCATTTTCTTAAAATGCCTTTTTTTTTTTTTTTTTTTTTTTTTGGGACCCTCGCCGGTGGCCGGGGATCGAACTGGCGTTGCAGAGGCTGTGGGCAGCCTCGCAGCCCAGTGCACAAACACTGCGCCACCAGGGGAGGCCCTCTTAAACTGTCTTTTGAAGGACAAAATTTTGAAGTTTTAATGATGTTCAATTTATCAGATTTTTTCCTATTATTCTTCCTGCTTCTTGTATCCTATCTTTGTATCTAAAATCTTTGCCTTGTCCAAAGTCATGAGTATTTTCTTCTGTGTTTCCTTCTGTAAATTTTGTAGCTTAACTCTAAATTTAGATCAGTCTAATAGTGACTTCGACAAGGTCTAGGATATAAGAACAATGTGCAAAAATCAACTGTGTTTCTATTTACTAACAAATAATTAGTAACTGAAAAAATTTAAGTAACATTTCAAAATATATGGAACACTGATAAGTTTAGCAAAAAATGGGCATGATCTGCATACTACAAACTACAAAACATTTCTTTTTGTCTCTTGTACTTGGGTTTCATGGAACATCTTGGATATATGGGCTTGTAGTTTTCATCAAATTTGAATAAATTTCAGTTATTCTTTCTTTCCATTTTCCCTTCTGTCTCCCAGCATGTTTTCAAAAATAGATATCAAAAACTTGATTCTAAAACTAATATCAAAAACCAAAGGGCCTAGAATAGTTCTTAATTCTATCCAATTTTTCTTCTCTATAAAGTTCCATTTGGGTTTCTTTTTAGAAATCTTCCATTTCCCTCCTCATTGTATTTGTTTTTACATTCCCAAGCATATGTATAATATTTGTTGGAATATATTTGTCTAAATCCATCATCTCTGTCATTTCTGGGTGCATTTCAAATTAATTTCCCCTAGTTCTGAGTCACATTCTCCTGCTTCTTTGCATGCCTTATAATTTTTTATTGGATGTCAGGGATTGTGAATCAAATTGATATTCTGGATTTTTGTGATATTTTGTTAAATAGGGCTGTACTTTCTTGTGGTGCACAGTTAAATTATTTAGGCATCATGTGTATCCTTTCAAGACTCGCTTTTAACTTCTGTTAGGATGAGTCTAGAGCAGCCTCTCATGTGAGCTAATAAGCCCCACCCAGTGTAGGTGCTGCACCTGAGGACTCTTTCCAGTTGACCTCCCATTTACAAGAAGTTCCTTCTACTCTTGGTGGTGGGAAAAAACTCCTCCAGTTTTTTTTTTTTTTTTTTTTTATAGAGGCATGTTTTTATTTATTTATTTATTTATTTTATTTGTTTGTTTTGTTTATACATGCACTGGGTACAGTCAGAAGCGCGGGAGGGTGAGAGAATTCACCAGAGCCAGAGCGGGGAGCAGAGCAGGCAGAAGGACTGAAGTACACTGCTGAGGGGAGCAGCGGGCGGCAGGAGAGGTCTGCGCACCATGTGGGATCCTCCTCCGGTGGCCGGGGAGCAGCCGGGGATCGAACCGGCGCCACAGAGGCCGCGGGCAGCTTCGCAACCCAGCGCTCAACCGCTGCGCCACCGGGGAGGCCCAAAACTCCTCCAGTTTTCTTTGAGCGCCAGGTGTTGCTTATTTTGTGTTTTCTGGGAAATTTCTTTCACACAAGTACAGAGTGATAGTGAGCAAAGACTTATGGAAAACTGCACAGAAACTTCTTCCTCTCTTGAAACTCCCTTTACCCCTTATTGTGCCTAGAATATTCTGGCTTCGCCTCCATGAACTCCAATTTCTGTCTCTTCAACTTAGTGAGAACAGCACAGTCAATTGGGTCAAACATAGGGTTCATTTCACTGTTTCCATTAAGGCCATGTGCTCCTGTTGACCCATGCCTGGAAACCATTGTTCTACACATTTTTGTCCATTTATCCAGTTATTTAAGGTGAGAGGGTAGATATGGTTCTTTTTATTCCAACATACATTTTTAAGTTTCATAACCTGTTAGTAGAGACTAATGTGTAAAAATACACACACATATATACATGGGGGTGAATACTCAATATTTTTCTGGTTAGTTGGCAACCAAAATGTTGAGTGAGTGGCCTGAGATAAACATGAAACACCTTATTATGCATAAGTTTTTTTCCCGTGTGACCCCTTCTTTGATTCTTTACTCAAAAATGAATGTTTTAATGTTTTCCCCCTAGGCCTTCTACTCTCCCCTCCTTCCTGCTCCCCAGAATGTGGTATCATATATATATCATATATATGATATTTATATTTATGATATATATATATATCAAATGTATTTAAATTTACTTTTACTGAACTCTGTATGACAACATGTGACATCACAGTCTTCACGAACATCCTGGTGGAAAGCTGAGGTTTTGTGCTGTGTTTTAACATCATTCTGTTTGAGCATTATTTGAGTCCATTACTTAATGGAATAATTTCCACTAGGAGAGGACTATCTTTGGTTAGATCTCTAACTTCAAGGGAGTTTAGCGTGTTCTTTTTATACTGGTTGACTTCATTGGAACTAGATCCAATTTAGCTGTTTAATTATCACAAGGTCGCCATCAGTCAATTCAAATTCCTATGATATAGTTTCTAAATTCAAGTACTCAAACACAGTTTTCTACAAAAAACATTCAAGCTGATATAGTTTACTAAAGCAGTCAAAGCTTGAAAGCACACATCATCTATGGAAGATTACTATTAAACCTTAGGATGTTGCAGTAGAAGTCCTTGTTCTTTCTTGTAAATAACAATTGTAGCAAATATTTATAGAGCATTGACTTTGTCCTAAATGCTTTTAAGTATATCAATTCATTAGAAACTCAATTTTATGATGACAAGCCTGGGGGAAAGTTTAGATTTAATTTACATTTTCTAGTTGCTGGTATATAAATATTGGCTATCTGCTGCTTGCTAACCTTTGTAAACAAAGGGCAACAGCTAACTCAGTGCTTTGCATTCTCAAGCCATTTGAGTCAACAACTGTATTCCTTCTCATTTCTTTCTCATTAACTGCAGCTAAAACTTGTGGCCTCTGATTTCAACTTTAATTATATACCACTGCTTGAATTAAAGAATTTGTAGCTTATGCTTTTTAATTTCTATAGCTTAAGCTTTAATCATTCTGTTTGGCTTCAATATTTACTCTATCCCTTAATAACTGTAGAACCTTGGACACACTGTTTAATGGCTTTGCTTCAATTTCTTCATATGAAAAATTGGATACCATTAGTACTTACCTTATAGAATTGTCATGGTGATGAAATGAGATGACATCTGAGCACACTTAAGGACAGTGACTGGAGCTTACTAACTGCTCAGTAAATTTAGTAATAGTAGAAGTAGTGGAGGCAGTGATAATAGTAACTGACTAATATATTTAATAGTAGTGATAGTAATAATAACAGTAACTGCTTAGGAAATTTAATAGTAGTAGTAATAACGGTTCTGTAAATTTAGTAGTAGTCGTAGTAATAATAATGATGGTAACTGTTCAGAAAATTTAGCAAAAGAAGTAGTAATAGTAATAGCAGCAGCAGCAGCAGCAGCAGCAGCAGCAGCAGCAGCAGCAGCAGTAATAGTTGTTAATGGTTACATGATGAATGATACAGTTAGTGGTTTGCCATAAATTATTTAATCAATTCCTGGCTACTGGACTTTTTGTATTCCTTATTCTCCACAATCATAAATAAGGCTGCAATTAATATGTACATGCACAGAAGTTTTTCTCTTTCCTTTGGATGATTTCCTTAGGAGAGTGACCGAGAAACTGGAGGGGCTGACAGTGTCAAGCGCAGCAGTGCTGGAGAGGGTGAAAGCCTTGCCAAGTCATCCTCCATGGCTCCTCCTTCTCTCCCTCCAGCGCCATGTCATCTTCTCTTTTCTCTTGCCGTTTCTGGAGTGGAACAAATATTTGCAGGCCACATCTAGAGAAACAAGGAAACTGCTAGAGTGCAGAGAGGCGGAAGTGTCCACCTGGCCTCTAGGGGCTCCTAGGCTGAAGTCTGCTATTTCAGCACACCTCTGGGCCTGCTGGGTCTGTGTGAGCCAGTCTCTGCTGCCCCATCCCTTTAGTCTTTGCCTCCCCTTCCTGAACCACTGCTTCCAGCCTGGCGTGCCCAGCTCAGATGCCCTCTACTTGCCCCCATTTCCTGGCTGGATATTTCAAGACCCTTCACATTCTAGTCTCTGTATTCACTCACTCCCATCTCCTGCTGGTCCCATCCCAGGACCCTCTGTTCCAGCCAGGCCGCCATGGCAGCCCCACGACACTACATGTGTTCCAGCCCCTCATCTTTGGCTCACGCCTTCTTTTCACCTCCCCTTTGAATCTTGCCTCTCTTCCAAGACCTAACCTGATTCCCACCCACCCAGGAGGCAGCTCCACCTGCTCCAGACCTTCCCTGTATATCACTAGCATGTGGTCTAAGTTAGCTTTTCCTGGTGTGTGGCTTGTGTGCCCAGACTAAGCAGACACTGTGAGACAGGACGGGGCCTAAGTTTCAGAGGCTAAGGACGGCCACAGTGCCCTGGGATCTATTTCCCCTTCTATAAATGTAAGGGCTGACTCCTGGAGTGATCTTGAGACTCACATTAGACAATGGACATAAAGTGGCTTGTGTCTGCCCTGCACAGAGCAGGCGTTCAAGCAAGGCCATTTTTCCTTTCTACCATACCAGTGACATGGAGGCCCATGGCCCTATGGCCAGTTGAAGGAATTCTAAGACATCTGTCCTTCCTCTAAATCCCAGGGCAAGGTGGCTGGCATTGTGCCCTGGCCCCATTCACAGGTGCTGGTCCCGCAGTGCCACTCTCTCCTCCCACCCCTAGGCCACTTCCTGGAGCTGCACATGTACATGACCTCTGTGCTGGGCAAGAATGACATGAAGGCCATCGGCCTACAGATGGTTCTTAACCTCCTGGCCAAGAAGGAGAACAAGGATTCCATCACTGTCCTCCAGGTGTGCACTCAGCCTGGGCTGCCTGACTGGGGCAAGGTAAGGGCTGGCTGGAATCCTGCGGCCTGCAGGGAGCTGTGGGACTGGTGCCTGAGGTGGCACCAGGGAGAATTGGATCAAGCAGTTCAGGCAAAACATCAGAGTCCAGCTACAATCTGAGAGCTGGAAAGTAAAGCAGGGGACCTACCTGCAGACTCCATCATTGGCTTGCTTTGTTCCATCACTAGTCTCAGTTTCCCCATCTGTTCAAAGAAGAGGTCATCATATATGACTTTGAAGGCCTCTCCCAGTCAGAGCTAGGCGTCAGGCTCTCTACTCACCAAAGTCAGCAGGCCCGAGTGAACAGTGTCCTGGGAAAGCATCGGTGCTTACCCCTTCCTGCTACAAATAGGGAAACTGAGGCCCAGAGACCTGAAATAGTTTGCAGTCTTTCTATTTTATTTCTCAAATTGGTTTTATTATTATTATTATTTTCTTCCTGGAGTCTGAGTGTAGAGCATAAAATGATCCCGGAGGGGTGGTTTTCAAACTGCTGCAGAGAATCCATGTCTACGTAGTGAGACTGAGGGGGAAGGGTGGGGCCAGTGGCACGCGGGCATCAAGGAGGGCTTTCCACAAAGGGCAAGTTTTTTTTGAATACAAGAACTGGGGTACAGGCCAGAGTTGTGGGGGCGGGGAGAGGGGTGATGGTGGCGAGAAGATTCACCAGAGACAGAGTGGGGAGAAGAACAGGCAGATCTACTGAAATACACGGCTGAGGGGAGCAGCAGGTGAGACAGGAGAGGTCTGCTGTGCCATGTGGGTAGCTCCCTGGCTGGGGATCGAACTCAGGCCCTGGAGGTGATAGTGCTGAGACTTAACCCTTAGGCCACCAAGGAGCCCCCAAAGGCAGTGCTTAAGCAGAATTTGCAGTGGAAAGAGGTCCCCACATTGGGAAAATTCTGATGTCAGGAAAGAGACATCCCAGTGGAGTCAGGGGGTCAGCCAGAGCAGGAGATGGGAGCAGTCAGGTTTCAGGGTCCCATGGGCTCTGCCAGCGCTCTCCACACTGCAGCTGGTCCAAAGCATGTCTCCAGCAGATGCAGCTCCGTCAACCTCGGGTCTTATTTTTTCTGGGCCTCAGTTTGACTCTTTCCCTCCTGGCCCCTCACGGCATCTGGGTCAGGTTATGCTCACAAGGCTCCCCAGTGGCATCTGGGTCAGGTTATGCTCACAAGGCTCCCCAGTGAGCTTGGTTACGTGCTGGAATCTGCTCTGAAGCCTAGCAGCTAGCTGTGCCCTGGAGCGCCTCCCCCGGCCAGGCCAGACACCAAGTCCCAGCTGTGGGGCGGGCGTGTCCCTGGGCGGGCCAGCGGCCCCACCTCCCCAACTCTGAATTCCCGGTGTTCCAGAGAGTGGCTGCCGAGAAAAAGGGCAAGGTGTAGGTCTTTTGTGGCTCCCCGGCTCTGGTCAATGTGCTCAAGGAACACTGTGAACAGTTCGGCTTCAGATTCTTCTAAAAGAACTTCTAGTGCCCCCCCCCACCCCGCCCACCTCACTCGCGGCCTGACAAACCCGGCTCCTTGAATGGAACGGGAGGCCCCGGGGGCAAAGGGACTCCTCACTCCTCAGAACCCCAGAAGGGGGAGGTCCTCGGGCAGCGCTGCTGTGCGTGCTGGGATTGCTGCAGAGCAATTTCCCCTGTGCCCCCATCACCAGTGCCTGTGAGCCCCACATTTCCTGGGCATTGTTCTATCTTAGTCTGACCAGAGCAGAGGTGGCGGCGGTGGCGGGTGCTTCCCAGGGCAACCACCCCTCAGAAGTCCTGTGAGGGAACGTCCCCCTCCCCCCCAAGAGTGATCTGCCTAATCATCACAATCATTCCATAACGATTCCTCCATTTTATTAAGAATACAGAAAGTTAAAAGAATGGTAGCGTTACTCTCCTCCTAGGTTCCTCAATGAACACTTTGCTGTGTTTAAGTACATGTTATTCATTTATACTCCGTCTATCCATCCCTCAATTTATCTTATTTTCTGATTCATTTTAAAGCACACTTTGCCACGCGGAGGAGCTTTCTTTAAATGCACACTCCTGGGTCTCATTCCCAGATATTCTGGGGATGTCTGGGAATGAGGCTGGAATGTGTATTTCTCCAAAATCCAGTCCCACAGGGTGTGATAAACAGCATATTTCTCCACCAACCTGCTACTCTCTGTCCCCTTTCTCTCTCTCCCTCTCGCCCCCCCAGCTCAGGGGCATCCCTGCATTGCCCTGCATTGCCCTGCATTGCCCTGCATTGCCCTGCATTGCCCTGCATGCCGAGCTCCCCTCTCTGGCGTGCTCTGCGTCACTGGAGAAACTGGACTGCGTCAGCATCCGTATGTGGGCACCAAGCAGGTTGTGGCTTGAAGCTCGGCTCAGCGGTGCCCCAGCTGCGTGGCCCTGGAGAAGTCTGCGTCTCCCTCTGTGAAATGAGACTGGTGCCATTGCCTGGCCACAGTGGTCATGAGAGTGAAGGTGAACCCGCCATAAGAGCTCGGGGTATTCCCCCATCCATGTGTCGCTCCAGGCTCCAGGCGTTTGAGGGTCTATCGCTCTGTTCCACCTCTATTTGCTTCTGACACTGGGGGGACGAGGAGTAGTGGCAGCACAAACTCTCTTTGGAGACACTTTGGGGAGGAGGGGCCCTGGACTGAGGACAGGGGTGGCCTCATTTCCTTGGATCTGAGCTGGGGATTTCCCCTTTATCCCCATCACAAGCCCCTGTGAGCCCCACATTTCCTGGGCATTGTTCTACCTTACATCTGGTCTTGTGAGGGTCTGCCTCTTCTGTGCCTCTCTAAACACTCGTCCCTATAGCTCCTTCAGGAGATGAGACTCAGGCGCTTTCCAGGGGGATTGTGGGTTGTACTTTTCTTTCCCTGGGCTTGTAAGACAGAAAGAAACTAGGCGACAATTATGATGAGGACACCGAGTAAAAATGACTGGGTATCTAAGAGGGAGTTTGGATGCAGTAGGTGGTGGGTGTGTGTGTGGGCAGTGGGTGAGAGGAGTAGATGGGAGAATCCTGCAGATGACAATGAAACAAAGTCAGCAGGATAAGTTCTCTTCAAAAAGAAGCAGTGAGGGAAAGGGGTGGTGGTTGGGAGTGTGGAAGTGCATCTTGGGAGAGAGGCCACATCCTATCATGAGGACCAGGACAGACCAAGACGAATGTTGTATTCAAGACCTGGAGAAAGAACACCAGAGGAGGAGTGGGCGTTAGCTGCCCTGTGGTGACAGCAGTTGCACCCAGCGTGGTGTCACAAAAGGGGAACCATACCTCAGCGAGCCTCTTCTGGGGCAGCAGCTGGCCTAGTTGGCAGTCCTTGTATCAGGGCCTCGTGCACGGGATTGTATTTTAACTTATAACCCACCTCAGGTAGACACGCAACTCACATGGAGAAACTCGGACCCAGAGAAGTTAAGTTACCAGCCTGAGGTAACTTCCAAGCTCCCACCCACCCACCACCCCTCCCCCTGCTGCCTCTTTTTGCAGAGAACTTATCTCGCTGACTTTGTTTCATTGTCCTCTGCAGGAATCTTCCATCTACAGTGTGGGACCCCATTCCTCCTGTTGAGTCTGTGTTCTCCCCTCTTCATCAGACTTGGGAAGGTTTGGGAAAAAGCCATCACTATCTGGGACACAGAAGCTAAGAGGGTGTCCCAACTTAGGGCTGGGATATGAAAGAGGATGTTCCAAAGTTATTTTGGAAAGTAGGCAGAGTAGAGTGTGTTTCTCACGGGACTTTGTGCGTGCACGCATGCACACACACACACACACACCCCTACCCCCCCCCCACGAGTCACCATCTTACATCCATTCCAGCCTGACCACACTGCCCAAAACACCACGCTCCAGACCTCAGCCCTTTGCTCTCTCATAACAGTCTTTGGAGCAGAGCCTTGTATCACCAATATCCCACTCAAGTACAAACAGCCAACCATTCATTTAGCTTTCTTTATGCAGTCGGGGCAGGAGCAGACAAGAACGGGAGCATAGGTCTAAGATTCCATGAAGGGCATTGGTGATGGCCAGCGCGGCACGCGTTCTCCCAGACATACTCCGCTTCCCCACTGGAGGGCGCTGTGGAACCAGGGATGTGGCGAGAGCACATTTGCTGGGAAGGAGTTTCCTTCGAGTGCTGGCGAATCAAGGCCGGAGAAGACCGCACCCCACACCAAATCTCAAGGCTCAAAACAGCACCTCCAGGTCCAGGGCCGTCAGAACCATGAAGTCCAGAGTATTCATTTACAAGAACAGAGTTTCTGTAGCTGCTAGTCCCTCACCCCAATACACACACACCTCTCCCTTCCTACCACATCCAGCGGTGTTGGAGTCCTTCCTTCTCTTCCACCTGCAAGCTCAGAGTAGGCGCAGCTGAGACAGTCTATGGGCCCAGGCTCTGCTCTCTGTATGTGCCACCTCCTATCACTGTAGGTGCAGGATAGAATATGTGGGTGCAGAGAACACTGGGTCTGCCCATTTGGATGTTTCCCAGACATCCAGATGGGGGACATCCTGCCTTCAAGAAGGAACAAATGCATGTATGTAGCCAGCGATCTTATCTCCTGTCGCCCAGATGTTGGCAATGCTGTAGACACATCTGGACCCAAAATGGCTAAGACTGACACACAAACAGAACAGAGGGGGAACACAGTGGACTCAAATAAAGAATGGTTATGGAGGTGTGTGCCTGCCCTGCCCCAAGCTGTAAGCCCGCCGAGGTCAGGCCTGGGGCCCCAGAACCTGGCACAGAGGAAGGGACAGTGGGCCCAACCTGGATGTCAGCTCCCGCCAGGGAGGGGGGTACTTAACTGGAATGGAAGGGTCCTCTGCATGTCTATTGTTATTTATAACAGGGGGAACAAAGACACACACACACACACACACACACACACACACGCGCGCGCGCACAAGCCCACTTACTGAATATTGCTGCTCAATGAGGACAGCGCTGACAGAGATGGCAGGCATTAGGGAAACAGGAGATTAGATAGGTCCCCCCTCCCCGGACCAGCAGCCCAAGGGCAGGCAGCATCCTGAAAGCCTTTGGGCATTAGCAGGGGGAAGACAACACTGGCAAGATTAAGAACTGTCACCATCTTGCAGGATCAGGTGGAGGCAGGGGTCAGACACCAGCCACGGCCAGCTCTAGCACATGCCTCTGAGAGGGGCAGCAGGAAGACCTTGGCAGTCTGAGGTCCTGGCATTGGGCTCCCCCTTTCCTGTGCCCCAGCCGCCATGTGACCTGGGCTGTGCCTCTGACCTCTCACTTCCTCATCTAGAAAATGAACAGATTAAGGATGTCTGCGTTTACACAGTTGTATGTGCTCATGTCTAGAAAGATCCACAGAGAGCGATTTTTATTTCATCTGTTTGCTGAGGAGTGGAAATGGAGGGACAGGAAGGGAAGGGTTTGGGTTTTGGGTTTTTGTTTTTACTTTTTATTTTTTCCTCCTCTATAAAGTTTGAAATGTGTATGATAAATGTGCTTTGGTTGAATATCATTAGTTCTATTTTTCAAAGGAACCCAAAATAGAATGTTAAGTAAAGCAAACAAGACACTAACAGCCAGGTACCCAGTGTTGCATCTGATTCTGTTCATGCAACAAGAAATAAACGATGCAAATGTCCCGTCGGGGTAAGTAGATGGAGATGCTTAGGAAAGCATTTGGAGTGCACGGGACAGGGCACAGGGCCAGCCATGGGGAGCTGAGGGAGGAGGAGCTGCCACTCTCCTCTCCAGCCCAGGTGTTTTTGTGTTGCCCAGGTAACAGCTTGCCTGATGTTGTTTTCACACCTCTCACTCCGTCTATTACTCGTGATGTTTTACTTTATGTGTTTACGGCCTGTGTCATTTTCTTAAAAGAATAAAACAAAATGGAGAGATGGTCTAGGGTGCTGTCTAAGACCCTAACACGGACTACCTCTCAAGTGAAGGCATTTGGGGGCAGGCATGGAGGGCCAGGCCCCTTCAGCTTGGGGGTTGCTCCCTGGTGTCTCCTGAAAAGAAAAGCTGTCACAGCACCCATATATAATATATAAAGCTGTGGCCCTTGGAGGTCTAAGGATCAAGATGAAAGGCCCCTTCTTGACACGAGACTGGTCCCACAGATGGCAGAGGCCTTGGAGAAATTGCCAGTGTGTTGGCCCAGCCTCACAGTCAGAAATCCTCAGGCAGGCGCACGGGTGGGCCCTACTCAACAAACACTCCCATGAACCCATCCTCCTGACAGATTGATGCATCTTTTTATGATCTGTCTTTACAATATGATGACTCTCTCCTTTTAAAAATAAGATTAATTCAGACAAGACATTTATTTTATGGGGAAATCCATCCCGGGGGGAAAATACTCCAGCCGAATGGCAGAGAAAGCTGGAAGGAGACTTGTCTCTCGTGGGAGTGTCCCGCCTCCCCTCAGCCTGATGCAGTGGCCCCAAATGGCTGCCCTGCCCCTTCCTCCCCAGGGACAAAGGGGGCCGTGTTGAAAGATCTCACTTGTGTGAGCAAGACTAATGGAGAACACGAAATAAAGCATGTAGTGAGCCTCAGTGTGGCAGAGGAGAACAAGGTTTATTTTGGGTAAAGGCAAAAAGTTCTAGAGTCACCCAAATTTGGCCAGATATGCATTTATGAATACAGATTAAGTTTATCTTTAAATAACCCAGAGAAATGAATTTTGTGTCTCTGAGGCTGGAATGGGGCTTCTCTAGGAGGCGCTGGCAGTGTTTCATGGAAGTTTCTGTGCTAGGATCCCTGTTTCCACTGGCACCCTATACTCTCTGCCTCCCCATCTCCCTCAGCCAATCCCCAAAGCCCAGCCAATGGGGCATACTCCATGTTTCTCAGATCCATTCCCTCCCCTGCTGGCCCTACCTTGGTTCAATCCTTCAATTATCTTTTGCTTGGATGACTGCAGGAGCCTACTGATGCTAATCTAGCCTCCACACTGGTGCGCACCTGTCCTATTTCTTCTGAGATGGGGGCACAAGGGCCTCCCAAACAGCATCACTGGAAGAGCTACTGCTGTTACTCTACCTGGTATTATTACTGGTCCACCGCACTCTAAAAAGACCATGTGCTTAGAATTCCCTCAAACACCCTACAGTTTCACACCTTCAAGCCTTTGCCTCTGCAGTGCCTAACACTTGGAGCACCTGCCCACCTTCAGATCTGGATCCAGGCCACCAGCCCAGTTGTCATCACAGAATCAATGCCACCTCCACAGGACTGCATCAATCCTACTTCTCTAGACCATCTGTCACAGGTATAGTATTTACCTGTTTACTTCCATGAGCTTCTTGAGGGTGGGAACTAGGCACTTGTCTCCCCAGTGCCTAGTGTGTGGTAGGGGATCAATAAAAGTGCTGGGGGGCTGAAGCAACTCACTTGAACCCCCTTCTTGCATGTAAGCACCTGACTCACTTGAATCTCTCCTTCTTTTTCCTCCCTTCTTTGCTGCTCCCCATCAGGAGTGAGAAACCTCTACATTCCTGCAGGCTACATTCCTGTCTCGCATGTGGGCAGGGCAGGCAGCTGCCTTTCAGGTACAACTTAAGGGTCCCTCAGGAGAGTCCCCTCCCTCACCCCCCACACCCCCACACTGGCACCCAAGGTCAGGCAGAGGAGTGCTTCTCTCCAGCTCAAAACGAGGAGGAGTGACTCCTGGCCCCTGGTGCCTCTGTGGCACCTCCTCCTGCTCTTGCCCATTCTTCTTTGTCTTTCTTCTTCTAACTCAAAAGAGATGAATGACTTAGGAGGAGCAAATGAATCAGAAATAGGGAAAGCAAAAAAGAGAGTAATTTTGCCAAGTTATTATTCAACAGCGCTCTCAGGGACCCAGAGGCAGAGCAGCCCCATCAATCACCCCACAGAGCTCTGGGGGCAGGCGGGGAAGCAGCCGTCGCTGTCTGTGGATGAATCTGTGGGTGAGCGGCCAGTCAGGAGCCTGGGGCCCTCTGCCAACCACCACAGAGGAAGGGAGAGAGGGAGGCCAGAGGGGGCAGTCAGCCCAAAGGCGCAGGGCAAGGCTCATGGACCTGCTGCTCTCAACAGCGGAGTCCCCACTCGAGTGGGGGCAGCTCCGGGGAAAGCACCCTTGAGAGCAGAGAGGAGATGGGAGGGGGCAGCGCTGGGATGGGAGCCTGGCCTGCTTGGCTGCTCTCCACAAACCTCTGCTACCCTGAGGGGGCAGCCGCTGCCTCATCCCGCCACAAGGGGGCGGACATCACACGCAGCCCTGCCTCCCGGATTTAGCCCGGGAATGCACCGAGAGTGAATGAACAAATGCGTGAAACCTGGATGGCACAAGTATGACAGCATATTGTTTGCTTCCTTTGTGCGTTTTCTTGCTTTACCATAATTTATATGCACAGGTTATCCCTGCTTTTAAAATTGAAGATGTAGTCTCTCTGGGGTCAGGAACTAAATCTGACTCCTCTCTGCTCAGACACAGGGAGAGCATGGACAAAGAAGCAGCAGAGAGGAGAGGACAGAAGGGAAGGCAGGGCTTCTTGAATAGCATCAGAGCCCCCACCCACCCCGCTTGCCACCGTGGAGGGGGGGTTGTTGGCTCCCTGACCCCACAGCAGAGCGCATGATGGCGCCGTGGAGTGGGCAGGTGTGTTGAGTTCCTGCTGTCCACATGCTGGAGTCCAACTGTGGACCCAAGGAGTCAAGGTCCCTGCTCTCCATCTCCTTATCTGTAAACTGTGACTGATGGTCCCTGCTGGACGGGGCGGAGATAGGGTTACCTGAGTTCATGTGTGTGAGGTGCTTAAAACAGTGATTGGCATATACTGAAGTCCCCCCTACCCAAGCTTCGCTTTCGTGGCTTGCGTCGCCTACGTTCAACCACAGTCTGAAAAGACGGCTGCAACAGGGTGTTTGGAGAGCGAGTCCACATCCACATACCTGATGGCGGTACATTGTTACAGTTGTTCTATTTGTTGTTAGTTATTGCTCTTAATCCATTACTGTCCCTAACATAAATTACATTTATCATAGATCTATATCTTTAGAAAAAAACCACAGCACCCTATGTTATGGTGTGTAGTGTTCTGTTACACCTGTGGTTTCAGGCATCCTTGGGGGTCTTGGAAGGGGTCCCCCAAGGTAAAGGGGAGGACTCCTGTAGTAAGTGTTAATACATTGGAACTTCTGTTAGTCATTTCAGTCTTAGTCTGTTTGGACAGCTCTAACAAAATATTGTAAACTGGGTGGCTTATAAACAAGAGCATTTATTTCTCTGGAGGCTGGAGTCCATGTCTGCATGGTTCTGGTGAGGACCCTCTTTCCGGTTACCCCCTGCAGCCAGGAGGCATCTGCAGCCCCTTGTCTTCAGCCATTGATGACAGAGCCACATGTGAGAGCCTTAATAAACACCTCTGTCCCTGGACCACTAGGTTCCCAGGGGTCAGTCACACCCGCTCTCACGTCCTGAGGGTAGCTCTGGTCAGGCTGAGCAGACAGCACCCTCCCCTGGGTCCTTCCCCAAACCCTGTAATCCTGGGCTGTGGAGGCAGGAGGAGATCAAATCATAGCTCCCCCAGCTCATTAGCGCTGCATTGTGAATTCGGGGGATAATGTATGTTCTTTTCTCTCCTGATTGCTTCTGAAATCTCTTGCCTGTTTATCAAATCTGAGCCACGCTTCCCTGCCCTCTGCTCTCTGGCTCTGTGCTGCTCTTCTCCAGAAGAGGAAACAGGAAAATGCTCCTGGGGGATTTCCATTCTGGTGTTGAGGACCAGAAAAGCCAGCTCCCGAGGAAGCAGGGAGAGGAGGTGGATTTTAGTGGCAGGAGGCAGGAGGACCTCAAAAAAATACTGACTTCCCACCCAGTCTGGACTGAGGCTAAGCTCTGAGGGAGGAAATCCCCCTTCTCCTACCTCCACTGCCCCCGTGACACCCTATCCAATCGGCTGAGGCCTACAGAATCATTCATTCATCATTCATTGACCCCACAAGTGTTTGTTGAATGCTTGCCCTGTGCCAGCCACTGTGTCAGGGGATGAGGACCAAGCACAGCCCCGCCCGCAGTGAGAGAGAAACACTTAGGCCAACAGCGCTGATCCCCTGAGGTACACTCCAGTCAGGGCCTCATGAAGAGCTGTGCTGGCCTAAGGAGGGGGAGTCAAAGCCGGGGTGAGGCCAGATGACCACTGACCTTGGCTTTGAAGAAGAAACAGGGAAGCGGGTACATTGCACACTCACCTGGGCACAGGCACAGAGGCGTGTTTATCTGGGGCAGCTGGAGGGCAGGTCAGAGGTCAAAATGCAGATGGGCCAGGAAGCTGAGCAATGAGAAGCCACTTAGGTGCTAAAGTGAGTGTGACAAGGTCATGTTAGAAAGATCAGAAAAAGAAATGAAGGGGAGAGCAATGCAGGGGCCGAGGGGGTTGGGGAACAGGAGCCAGACTGAGGCAGGGGCTGGGAGATGGATGGCAGAATGGGTGAATGGAGGGGTGAGTGGTAAGGACAAGGCCTCCCCACGGCAAGAATAGTCAAGTTGAGTCACAAAACACCTATTCAAAGTGGCCCTAGTAGAAGGAAGTTGGTGGCCAGGATAGAACAGTCAACTCCACCCAGGACAGGATGACCCCAAGTCAGTTGTGAGGCCCTTTCCTCCTGAGACCCCATGCGGCCTGGCAGCTTGGCATCTCCTCACTGGCTTCCTCTGCTGCAGGCCAGGTGTCACCTCACACTGGGGCAGTGGTCTCTGTGTCTCTTTATTCTGACTCTCAAGAGGTCCTCCGAGCATCTGAGTGAGTCGACTCACCTCCTCGCTGCCCACCAATGAGTTGGCTGCCTTCGGCTGTGAAACCATCAGCCATGCTGGGCCACTGGGGCTGGACATTATGGAGCACCCCTTTGGGAGTGGCTGGTACTCGGGTGTGTCCTCCAGAAGGGCCATGGGCGGGGCAGCGGGGAGTCCCCATACCTGTGCCCCCCTCCGTGCCTGTGCCTGCAGTTCCCCTTCACAGACTTTTCCACTTTCTCAGGGTCACAGGTGGTGATGCTGGGTGTGTGTGTGTGTGTGTGTGTGTGTGTGTGTGAGAGAGAGAGAGAGAGAGAGAGAGAGAGAGATATCCAGCTGATCTGAAAGAATGACAATGAATCCCTTCTTCCCCTTTCCTACAGAGCACTTGGAGAGGAGCTTAGCCAGCAGCAGGCCCAGGCGGGGGACTTCTCTAAGATCAGTCTTAGATGGTATCTACTGTCATTTTCTAATTCTTTAATATTGACTTAGATCTGCGGCAGTAGGTTTTCCTGCACGGACTGTTTACCTTTGTCAGCATCTTTTCTCACCCAGGCACAGGGAGGGAATGAGACAGCCGGACCCCAACGTCCTTCCCCTTCTCCTTGCAAACTGAACCGCGACTGGTTCCAGGCACCCCCAGGTTAACGAGTTGTGAAAATTCTTGGGGTAGTCATGTGCCTGTTCTCAGTGATAGTATCTGCTGGCGGCTTCCAGAAAAGTCTTTCTTTTCCTGAAAAAATTCTTGAACATCCAGAACCATCCCAGATCATGTGGCCTCACTTGGGATAAAGGGAGGGGAAGAGGGAGAGTTCTGGCCCAGGGCACGTCATGTCCCTCCTTCATCTCAGCTGCCTTCTTGTCCTACAACCCCAGCAGTTTGCTTTTCTCTCTGCCATATATCCCCAGACCAGTGCCTGGGGTGAGGTTGCTCTTAGCAGTTCTGTGTGGATTGAGGGAATAGGTCAGGGAGGAGTTGTGTGACTTATAAGTAAACATATTCCCCACTGATTCACTGTAAAAATTAATAACAGTGTACGCCACGCTTGTAAATGGAGTAAGCTGGGTGACCCACAAACTCAGGTACCTCCTAAAACTTGGTGCTATGGTGATCAGTCACCTGGTTTCTGCCGAGAGCTTCAAAGCTCCACCAAACACAGGAAGGAGAGGGAAGCAAGAGGGGAGACTTCAAAGTCACTCCCTGCCATCTGGCTGCAGTCTTGCATTATCCCTGCCGTGAGCCATTAACCTACTAATTACTGAGCAATTAGCTCTGGTCAGGGGCTGCTGCTCCTACTCCCACAGCCTCTGAGACCCTGCTCCTTAGCTAAACGGACAGTCCTGACCACCTCTCTTCCTGCTCCCCTCAAGTTGTCCTTGAGACCTCTGCAAACAGGTTCCTAGTCCTTCTGAGCGCCCTCTCCCCGTGAGTTCACACTCATGGAACCTCCCCTCAAGAGACTCCATGATCACGGGATTTCTTACTCAGCTGTGAGGGTACGCTGCCATTTTTGAAGAGCAATTTTACCCAATAAACTGGAGAAAGTAGAGACCTTGAAATAATTAGCTTCCCCGAGGTCCCCACTGCCGGCCTAGAACCCGACTCGGCTAGAGGCGCCGTCAGCGCTGTGGTGCTCATCCCCACCCATTACCAAACTTAAGTTTCTTGGCTACTTCTCCCCACGCTCTTAATTTGCTCACCATGTTGCTATCAGTGCCCCACCCCATCTTCTGAAATGTTACTTAATGTCCTCTCCCTTTCCGTCAAAACTCTTCTTCTCTAGGAAGTGC